GTTTATCACTTTGAAACCTAAAATATTTTGCGACACAAAAAAAGCAAAAGCTGAAGATAATAAAATGATCTCTTCAGGTCACTTCATCACATGCAGGTAAAGTTATGGAAGAAGTAGATACTCTAAATAAACATTTAAAATGTAATTTGTCAATAGTGCAATAACTTAGTTTAGATCATATCTTGAAAATAGTGAACAATGTCTTAAAATACACTCCTATCAATCATCTCATTACATTTTGAGAAGAGAAGTATCTAATTTCGTCTGTGAGAGAACTACAGAGTTGGATAGAGACAAACCCTGGAAGAAAATAAATGCCTATTTGCTTAAAAATAATAATCTAACTTTGAAGTATAAAAAGATTATCGCAATGTGTTTCTCATAAAAGAGAAAAAAGATATAAGCTTTTAAGTAAGATGTGATTGAATAGAGAAAGAAGAGGTCAATTTATTCGTAAGAGCTGCAGTAGATTCCAATCTGAACCTTTGCAAAAGAAAAGACTTTGAAAATCTTCAAAAAAAATCGTTTTCAACTATTTAAACCATATATATCTCTTAAAGCCCAGCAATTTAAGCATACAATCATATTTTTCTCACTGTATAACACTTTGGGACAGACTAAGCAAACAGTACCTAAACCAGGTCACCATATAAACATGAATTAAAATGTTGGGTCAGAAACATATCAGACATTCTCATTCTATAGAAAAGCAGGAAAGTTTAATTACAAGTTAGTAATTCTGTATGCTTAAAAATAAAGTGGAGGATCTTTGCAAATTTTTGAAAAGACCCGCCCTCTACACTTAAAAAAAATGCACATGCGAAACCCTGTACCTGCTCCTGTGATGGGATGCCTACACTGAAAAATATAATGCAACTGCTTATGGCATTTACTTAATCATATTCAGTTACTTCAAAACAAAATAAGATTTTGTCTGACGTCTGACTCACCACCTGTAAGTGAAAATGGGGACGAACACATAGGACCTCCTACATAAAAATATAACCAGGATGATTGACAGTTAGGAGGACCACTCATTTTGATGATCCACGTGGAAAAAGAACATCTTCCAGTATACTTATAAGAGTTTAGAGTTTTTAGTGCCAGATGTTGTTAAACTAATAAATAAAGTAATAGTCAACACGGGGTTACCACAGATTGCTTTCAAACACGTAAAAGAAAAAGTTTTGCATTTCTTCTGCCTAATCTTTATACTCTTACAATTTTCAATTCAGTTTCTTTAGCACCAATTCACATGACATACGTCATCTCAAGGCACTTTACAGAGACAATTCAACCAGATCATACAGTCTGATTGGTTCAAAGTTTTCTATATAGTGAAAACCAACAGATTGCATCAACTCATTGACTCAAAAGCAATCCCTCACACTAAGCATGCTTGTGTGAGGGATTTTAACATGGAAGAAACCTCCAGCAGAACCAGGCTCAGTGTGAGCGTCCATCCACAGAGGCTGACTGGGATTAAAGGAGGCAAAAGCAAACATACGGTAAGGAAGAGGGATACAAAAGGTAACTGTCACCAGCTCCATAGGTGGCCCAGGGAACACACAGCCAGGCAGACGAGCTCCGAGCCAGCTCCCATGTCAGAGGATGAAAGAGAGCACATCCAGGTAGTCACAGTTAGAGAAACATGACTACAATAAAAAAGCAGGCCAAGCTCCAACATCTATAGACAAAGGCATTAATGGCAGCAGCACATCTGCTATTTTTCTCAGGGATGGTGTCATAGCAAAACAGGAACAAACCAGATGAAGCTACTATGATAAGAAATAGCAGAGAGAACATAAATAAAGAGGTTGAATTAATGAATACTGCAGAATGACAGAATAAAGATAGAATGAAGCAAAATGAAGAAAAGGGGACCCTATATCCTCCAGCAGTCTAAACCTATAGCAACATAAACCTTCCATTGATGGACCTAGCCTAAAGAGATTGCTACTAGTAATTTCACATTGCTTGGCAATTTATATATGTGACCTTTTAATATCACAAAATAATGACCATTATTCTAAGGAACTATACACATTTTGACTGTAGATGTAATGGATATGATAATCTAGGTGGGTTTATATAACAATGGTCCATAGAGTCTAGTTCATGCTCCCTGCAGCCAGATGTCCGGTCTCTTTGAGCACAGCAGGATGTAAGGTGGGCGTGGAGCATAGCAGTATGACCTCATTTATCCATGGCTTTGGCTTTAGATCAACTGCTGCTTGAAGCCTGCAGATACAGAAAGTGAGGCATCAGTTAAGCCACACTGCTCTTGTTTATATGTAAAGGGTGGTACTGAAAAAAATAGTTTAACAGGGGGTTAAGAAACTGGTGCGTTGGTCAGTTAACTCTGCTGTTTATACAACAGCAATTAACAATGTTATATGTATGTCCTAACAGGCATGCACACCTGTTAGTTGGGCAGTTTTAAAACTAACTTTTCAAATTACCGTTCATAAATAAGTATGCAAACTTAAAACAAAAACATTTGTTAAAATTAGTTTTATAAAACAAAATGAGATTAGACAATGATACAATAGAAGAGGTAGCATTTTCAATGTGCTAACAATGTAGCATGAAGCTTCCAGCACCAACAGTACCAACAGCTCTGGAACTCACTTCCTCCCGACCTCCGCAGTATTGACTCTCTCCCCTTATTCAAAGCCAGACTCAAAACC